CAAGTAAGGGATGGCATCCCTTTGAGGATCCTGTGCTGTCAGAAGGCTGAAGCAGGTGCATGGGTTGTGTTGGTCATTGTGGCCCTCAGAGTTCCACGCACATTGGTTACCTGACTGCTGTGCTGAGAGACTCTGGGGGTTGTAGGGGCTGTTTCTCTCTGTTGTCACCTAAAGGCATTCACCACAGTTTGGAACCTCACCATGTGTGTGAGTTTCCTTATACCACATTTCACTCTTGACCTTCCCCACTCTTCCGTGCGTGTCTCTGCCTCCCCTGGTTCCTGTGGCCAGTAGAAGCTGTGATGGCCTCTGGTGGGGATGTAGGTCAGTGGCCAGGATGGCTGTCCTTTCTTTACTGTAGGGACTGGGGCTCACACTCCCATCTGTGTTCCAGGTTGCTGAGTGGCAGAAAAATCCACAGTGAGGAGGAGGCACTGGAGGTAAGGAGACCCTCACACATGGGCATGTTCATGGGGAAGGAATCCTTCAAACACTTCCTGTTTATGGGGAAGGAGTCCTGCACACATAGACCTGTTCACAGGGAAGGAGTCCTCACACACTTCCCTGTTCACCAGGAAGGAGACCCTCACACACGTCCCTGTTCACGGGGAAGTACATGGGCACCTAAGAGATGCTGAGCTCTGACCTTAGATGTGGGGAGCACCCAGCCTTTGTCATTGACCAGTACCTCTGTCAGTTCTATACTCAGTCCACCATGTGTCCGTGTCTGCGACCTGAATCTGCCATACCAAAGCATCCTCTCACAGGTCTGGAGTCTGAAAGCCCCAAAATCAGTTGGGGGCAGGGTGCACTCCCTCTGAGGCCCCCAGGAGGTCCTTTTAAGACATTGTGGTACACTCCACTAAACTATAGCCTTAGATTATTGCCAAGTAGAGTCCCGCTTTGAGGAATTGGGGGTGAGGACATCAGTATATCTTTTCTCAGGTCAGCCCAGGGCAATCACCACTGTAATGTGTGCCTATTGTGGGTCCGGCATTGTGTAAGCTCCAGGCACAATCTTACCTATTGAGCCCCATAGCCCAATGTGGGCCAGCCTCATGGGTCCCCCTCATGGCCCCACATTGCTCTGATGACCTTCAATTCACACCATTCAGGCAGCGGGCATGAGTGAGCCACCCAGAAGCCTATGGTGGCATCTTTTCTTTCGTAAGATTTATTTGTTTGTATCTTATATGTGAGTGTTTTTTCTGTGTGTATGTGTACACCATGTCTATGCCTGGTGTTCTCAGAGCCAGAAGAAGGTATCAGATTCCTTAGAACTGAAGTTAAGGACAGTTGAGAGCCGCCAAGTCGGTCCTGGTAACTGACCCTGAGTCATCTGAAAGAGTAGCCAGTGCCTTTAACTACTGGGCGATCCTCTCGAGCCCCATGATAGACATCTTCTGTGCTACACCCAGGCTATCCCATCTACCCCCTGTGTGGCCTTGGACCACAGAGTGTGTAGTATATAACTCCATGAATGTCATCTCCTACTGTGAGCGGGCACTGGTGGCTAGTTCACCTCTTGAGCCACTTGCATAGGTACCCATGA